ATTGGTATATGGAGAATAAAAAAATAGGGAGAATAAAAATGTTTTAATAAGATTGGTATATGGAGAATAAAAAATAGGGAGAATAAAAATGTTTTAATAAGATTGAAATACAGAGAATAACAATGTTTTAATAAGATTAGGATAAAGAGAATAAACTTATTTTTGTAGCAACTTATTAACCTTGTTTAATTTTTCTGTTTTATGTTTAATAAATATATTTTTTAATATGTTAAATTATAATCTTTTGTATATTTGCTTATTTTTATATATTTGTTTATTTTTATATATTTGCTTATTTAGCTTCCCTTAAAACATCGTAGTAGGAAATATGTTTTAAGAAAAAAAAAGTTTTTTTAATTTATTTTCAAAACTTTTAGGCGAAGATGGTGACGCAGATAATTCTGAAGATGATAGCAATAATGGTGATATAGAGGAAGACACTGATGAGTTTGAAACAGCAAGTCCAGAACCTGAATCTGGTGAAGATGACATGTATGGAATTACATCAATAAATGAGGGTGATGCAGGCTGGTAAAATCAAGTCAGAATTTAAAGTGAAAGACATGAATATTTGATGCGTTATATTTTTACTTATAAAATAATTACCAAATTTCTACTAAAGTGTTATTTTATTAAATAAATTTTTTTTTTTTTTATATACAAAATTTTAAAAATTTGATTGGATTTGCTAGATTGACTAGGGCAAAATGTTTCTTTAAGCAATGACTGATCAAAATATTTCCCTGAGAGTTCATCAATTAATCTCACCACATATCTTTTAACATGATTTAACACAAACTTATGGTTTATCCAATATTTTTTTATCAAACTCAAATTTAAAAAAAATACTTATGCTGTTTGAATATAAGCTTTCTTCTCTTCATTTTTAGCCCATATCACTTTTTCTAATACTTATTGAAGTAAACCTTATCACTTAAGGTTTGTGTAAATAATTATATTCTAATTGAAATAAACCTTATCACTTTTGTTGTGTAAATAATTATATTCTAATTGAAATAAACCTTATCACTTTTGTTGTGTAAATAATTATATTTTTATTGAAATAAATTTTATCACTTTTTTTTGTAAATAATTTTGTGTGTATTGTAAATCTAATGTCTTAATTTAATTTGTTTTAAATTTACATGTTTTCATTTGGACAATAAAATAATGTGAATTAAATTATGTAAATCAAATATTTTTTCGGAAAATAAAAAAAATTAAAGCTAATTTTAAAATATAATTAAAATGTAAAATATGCTAGAAATCTGTTCTGCCTCATTTGTTTTGTGAGATCCAAAAATTATTTTGTTGAATTTTGTGCTCATTCTATAAATAGAGAGCTTACGGTATGAAAACTGCAGTGGCAATGGAGATGACAAAGGTCTGGATCGAGCGGTTGCGACTTGCAATTGCGGTATTCAGATGCAAATTAGTTATGAATTTCCGCTTCAAAAAAAATAAAAACATCTTGAAATAAGCAAAAAAAAAAATTTAAAAATGGCTCCTTTAAGAAATGTTAGAAATAATTTATTACTTGGATTAGAATCAAATATCATAGACGATGAGGAATTTTTACTACTGTACAAATTAAGTTTGTCTAAGAATCCAGATTTACCATTTTGGAGTTGTAAGCAATTTTGTTTAGAAATCATGTCTGATGATGAATATAAAAATTTACAATGGACGTAAAAAAATACACAGTCTAAAATTTCAATCTGTAGTTGCACTAAACGGCTAACTTATTTGGACCAGTTGAAGGAAAAAAACACGATAGTGGAATGTTAGCTGACTCTAATTTATTAAATTTATTAGGACAACATTCATTTGATACTGCAGGTAATCCCTTATGGTGATATCACATATGCTCTTAGAGTATATTTACAAACAGGTTTTAAAGGTGCAATGTTATATCCACAACAAAAAACTTGGAACAAGAGAATGAGTGCAGTCAGAGTGTCAGTTAAAAAGTTATTTGGAGATATTTTAAACTACTTTAAATTTTTAAACTTTAAAAAAAACTTAGATATTGGCCTAAATGCTGTGGGAAAAATGTAAATAGTTTGTGCCTTACTAAATAATGCTCGAAGTTGTTTATATGGTCCGCAGACATCTAATTATTTTGGTATTTATCCACCTACACTTGAGGAGTATTTTGTACAAAAATAAAAGACAAAATAAAAAACTAGTTCACTTAATGTTTGAACTTTAAAATCAACTTTTTATAAACAGGTTTTTTAAAAAAAAAAAAAAAATATCAGTCACTTTTAAGTAAATTTCAATTATTTTTTGGAAAGTTGCTTTATTAATTCTAATATTGTCGCTTGCTGCTGCGATTGTTGTTGCACTATTTCCTGCATAATTGTTTGTTGTTGTTGAAAGAGTTTCAACCTATCGGATTGATTCTGCAAACTTTGTTTTTTTGATTCAAGCTCTTCCTTTTTTATAGCTCCATCTCTTTCTCCTTTCTCTCGTAGATATACCATAATTTCAGAACCAGTTTTTTTTGAACGATTGCATTTTTTTTGCCCATTTCTTTCCATTGTTTCTGATAAAGTTTCCATACTACATTTTTTCAATAGCTTTTCTATTTGATCGTTAACTTCTTTAAGTAATTTTGTATCACTTAGCGTTGAATATATATATATATATATATATATATATATATATATATATATATATATATATATATATATATATATATATATATGTATATATATATATATATATATATATATACATACAGCTGCGAAAAATAAAATAGCACCACCACCAAAACTTGGTTGAAATTAGAATTTTAAACTATTTTTGATAGTTTGAAAATCTTTAAATACATATTTAAAAGTAAAATGACTTTAAATTTTTATAAAAAACAAAATATACTAGTTTTAATATATAGTATTCATTTATTAAACAAAAATTCAAAAAAAAATCAAATAAAAGTGAAAAAAATAATAGCACCACAGCTTTAATGTGTACTTTAAAATAAAGAAATATTATGAGATCAATTGTTTTAAACATTTTACAATAAATATTAGTAATTTCTTAAAACATTAGTGTTTTGTAGCGTGACCTTTATTGGCAATGACGGCTACACAACATCTTGGTATCGAGTTAACCAAGTCCTGACATCGCTTTAGCGGAATTTAACTCCATGTCTCCTTAACTACGTTCCAAAGTGACTCCTTCGTGAGGGGTTTGGCAGCAGCAACCACCTCCTTTACATCAGCCCGCAAATTCTCGATTATGTTAAGATCTGGCGACTGTGCTGACCACTCCATAACGTTCACTTTATGCTCCTAAAACCAATTATTTGCCTTTTTGCTAGTGTGCTTTGGGTCATTGTCCTGTTGGAACACTTTTTGACAATTGCTTTTCTTAGTCTGCATATGCAACATCACTTTATCCAATATATCAACATAAACATATTTATCCATAATAGTTGTAATGTGATGAATAGGCCCTACTCCGTAATACATAGATGAGTTTTTTCCGGAAATTCCCAGAATTCCGGAAATTCACATAAAACACCTTTAATTTTTCCAGGAATTTCCGGATGTTTTTTGATATTAATTTGAAAAAAAGTTAATATATTTTTACATAAAATTTTACATACATACTTTTGCATTTAAACAAATATGTTTTCTATAATTAAAATTTTCACAAGATCAATTTTCGTAACAATTTTTTTCTTCATTTTTTTTGCTTTTTAATTCATTCAAACTTTTTCGAGTATTAGAAATTCCTTTTTGTTAAAAATTAATTAATATAAATTCCGTTTTAAAATAATCTAAATTCCGTTTGTCAGTTAAAGGCGATCAATTTTTAATAAAACAATTTTCCGGGATTTTCCGGGATTATCAAAGAAAAAAAATTTCTGAGATTTTCATTAAGTCAAATACTCATTTATGGTAATAAGAAAAGCATGCCCATATCATTATACTATAACCTCCATGTTAAATAGTTTTGAGGTATATTTTGGATTGTATTTTGCATTCGGCGGTCTTCTGACATACGTCCGGGAGCTATTTCCACCATAAAGCACAATCTTACTTTCGTCTGTCCATAAAATATTCCTCCAATTTTCGAGTGGCCAATTTGAGTGTTTTTTAGCAAACGCAATAAGCTTTACAACATGCTTGGCACTTAGAAGTGGAACTTTTCTGGGGCTACAGGCTTTTAATCCATTAACTCGCAGACACTCTAAACTGTTAGTACTGTTGCATCGATGTTAAAGTCGTTTTTTAGCTCGGTAGCTATTTTAAAAGGTTCCTTTTTAGCCTGTCGGACTAAGAAATTGGCCAGCAATGTTGAAATATAACATTTATGACCATGTGTTTCAGGCTTTTCTTGAAATTTATGGCATTTCTTATCATTTTATAGGAACACTTAACTAAACAACCAACTTTTCTATAAGATTTCTCTGCTTATATCAACTTTCGGATCAGTTCTCATTTTTCTGCACTACAATGCTTTCCGCATCCCATTTTTATATGAAAATGTCTCCTACTAAAACGCACTAACATAAAACGAATGAAACAGCAAGAATTTAACCCAACGCTTGCTATT